TTATTTTTCAGGACATATATGTTGTGGTGGATAATATTGCTCTTTTCTTATGATCAAATGGTGTTAAGCATATGAACCTGCCCCCTTCTCTAGACAATGCAGTGCAATAATTAGTAGATGTGCAAAATGTGTTTCAGTACTGGCCAGTCCATCCCCTCCTGCCTGGGCACTCCAGCCCAGGTGAGCCCAGACTCACCCCACCTGGAAGAGATCAACATGAGTTTCTTCCAAGCTCATCCTCACTTAGTGCAAGGACACCATGTGCTCCAGAAGCCCAACTATTGTTTTCCTCCTTCTTATACTGCAGGTACATACTTTCTCACTACAGGTCACCACATACAGAGTACCTATACATGTTATGTTTTTTTGCATACACTGGCAAGTGTCATATAAAACATAGTGCTCAATTCTGGGATATCGTCCACTAACAGAGAAAGGTGCAAGTACATTGATGAAGTCCCAAAGATTTTAGGTGGGGTTTGACATACTTGAAATGGCTTTTGGGTCACTGTTTGATACACAGGTTAATGACGCTTCTCTTAGATAATACTGACCATGGGATTGTTTGCCTTCTAGCTGAACGAGGTGCTATTCACTTTTAATGTTTCAGTGTTCAATTGTGAGCTAAAATATATTCCTAAGAAGTTTTTAAGCAGTCTTTACAGCTGAACACATTTAGTTTCTGTTACGTTGCGGTGATTGTGGGCATCCCAGAATATGAGTATATGCAAACTCTCTTACTCTAGAGACTAAGAAGGGATTTTTGTGTTTTTTAAAAAAGAAAATAATCATAACAAAAACTGTGTGGTTTTATTTCTGCACTTATTTAATTGAGCAAAAAGGCACCTCAAATAACATGCTTAGCAAGTGACATTTCCCCCTGGCATATTTTATGCTTCCCATTCGTACCCTACAGCACTTAAATATTCTAGAGTTTCAATCTGTGTTTCAGATGTAGTATCATGATGTCAGTATTTTAGGGGAGTGTTTTTCAGACAGGGTACCATGGGGATTCCCTCCAGAGGTTCCACAAAATTTTACAACCTTCCACCTCAAGCACTTTCCCCTCTTGCACCTGCCAGTCATTCCTCAAACTCAAGCTACATTGCTGAAAAGTTAATGAACCCACAGAATTACATTTGTGAAAAACATTCTGATAGTTGAATGATTTGAATAATATTCCAATTATTAATTAGCAAAAAAATTTGCCTTTGAATTTTGTAACTGTTAAATAATGTTCTTAATTGTGTTTACTGCTTTGAGGTGGGGGCAGGGAGATGGTGCTGAGATTCTGCAGGATATCACTCTATGCTGCAGTATTTCCTCTACAAAAAAAAAGGAAGAAAGATAGAAAACGACTGTTTGCAACTAAATGTGTCATTAGAAACCACATCAACTTTTAAAAAAGATAATAATTGGTGTGCCCACCCCCACCGATTCCCCCCCCCCCCTGGACTGCAGCAGCCAGGAGGAGAAATTTCACTGTTCCTTCCTCACCTTCAATTCTGAAAAAAATAAAAGCGCACCCCACACCTACTGTTATTAATTATAGGTGCCACTGGGAACTTTAAGACTAATAGCAGCTTGGGAGTAGGTGATTTTCACTGTGGCTTTGATGGTGGGAAGAGTGAAACCACTCCACATGCTTCAGACCTGATGAAAATCATCCCACCCCAACCCCCGCTGCCTATTGTTAAATTTTATAAGCCAGTATAGTTTCTAATGACACATTCATCATCATTTGTCCTTTGACCATTAGAGTTATGGAAGTAGGAGAAATCAAATGCAAGTGCATGAACTAAGGACAGTCCAAAGATGCTTTTAGGTGGAAAGATGTGATTATCTACTCTCTCACACTCTTTTGCAGAGAAGAAGCTGCAAAGGGTGGCACCAGAACTGGCTCATTATCACCTTATGCCTCTGTTGCTTCCCAGGCATCTAGAAATAGCACATAACCATGCATGTAATGTGCAGAAAAGGCCATGATCAGAGGCTGGGTTGCATTGTAAGGAGTGCTCTAATTATGAGATGCATTATAAAGGGTGATTTCAGAATGATGATGGGGATTTTTGAGATGGCTATGAAGAGGCAGCAGATGTGAAGTTTAATCTCAGGACTGCTTGTTCACAGTGATTCTCACATGACAGAACTGATTCACACTGATTTACACTTTCAGGAAAACCCCTTACAGAAGAGGAATTGCTAGCGGGTGACAGCTTATTACAAAGCATGTTTCTCTACAAGCGTCTTTCAGTTCTAGTAAAGTGGCCAGAATAAGAAAATGAGGGCTATATGTGTACACAGAGAAAGAAAGAAAGAGAGAGAGAGACAGAATGAAGCAGGCTCAAAAAAAAACGTCCTGAGGAGCTTCAGAAAGGCATTATGACCAACTTGGTCAGTCATCTTGTTTTCTGATTATCACATAATTGCCCTCATAACTGTTCAACATACCTTGTTCTGTGAATTATCGTATTTTTCGCTCTATTAGACGCACCAGACCACAAGACGCACCTAGTTTTTGGAGGAGGAAAACAAGAAAAAAATATTCTGAATCTCAGAAGCCAGAACAGCAAGAGGGATCGCTGCGCAGTGAAAGCAGCAATCCCTCTTGCTGTTCTGGCTTCTGTGATAGCTGCGCAGCCTGCATTTGCTCCATAAGACGCACACACATTTCCCTTTACTTTTTAGGAGGGAAAAAGTGAGTCTTATAGAGTAAAAAATACGGCATCATGTTTACCTTGTGCCAGAACAATTTAAATAAAAGTCATTGAAGGACTGACCTTCTTTTGCATTATATCACTAAATTTCCCTTTAGCAGAAGCTTTTACGTTTTTTTAGTTGGAACTTCTTGAAATTCAGTGTTAATTGCTATTTTTGTCCTTTTCAGTCTAATTCTGGTTTGCCTGACATAAACCTATTTGGTCTCATATGGTTCACCACAGGCCACCGGAATCATAGGACGCTATAGCTCATTGTGTAGTGTCCAAGAAGAGTGCATAGGGCAGTATGAGGATATAGATCGGGTGTAAGGAACGTCCAGCCCTCCAGATGTTGCTGAACTACAACTCCATCAGCACCTATAAGAATAGCCAATGGACAGGGATGACAGGAGTTGTTGTGGGTTGGCAATTGTCTGTCTCGGGAGACAGTGGGAGAGTGTGCATTTAAGCATGAAGTCAATCCATTGGAGAATTACAATGTCTGCTGTGGTTGTAGATACTGAAACAGGAGAGACATGTTTTGTTGCAGCTGGGGCAGATGAAGGTGTCTGGATGGAGTGATGCAGGTGCACCATGACGTTTCTTCTTTCTGTGCTCTCCCAGCCGCACTGCAAAACCAATGCTGTGAATACATGGTTTTGGCTGCCCTCCTTGCCAGAAAAAGGTGTAGTTCTTCTTTCGGTGGCTGCCATTCAAAGTGAGTCTGATCTCTTGTAGATCTCGTGTTGATGCTGAGTGTTTTCAGCTAACTGACAATGATGGCCATCTTTCATGAGTTGTAGTTCAATAACATCTGGGAGTGCCAGAGGTTCCCCAACTCTGATGTACAGTGGTACCTCGGGTTAAGAACTTAATTCGTTCTGGAGGTCTGTTCTTAACCTGAAACTGTTCTTAACCTGAAGCACCACTTTAGCTAATGGGGCCTCCTGCTGCTGCTGCTGCGCCGCTGCTGCACGATTTCTGTTCCCATCCTGAAGCAAAGTTCTTAACCCGAGGTAATATTTCTGGGTTAGCAGAGTATGTAACCTGAAGCGTATGTAACCCGAGGTACCACTGTATATAGTGTTAGATTTGGATAGGGAAGACTTAAGTTTAAATTCTTTTTCAAGCTTTATAAATGACCTTGAGCAAGTTAGTATTCCTTAATACAGGGATGGGGAACCTTTGGCCCTCCGGATGTTGCTGGATTACAACTCCCTTTCCATTGGCCATGCTGGCTGGCGGTGATGGGAACTGTAGTTCAACAGCATCTAGAAGACCAGATTCCATACTCCTGACTTATTCTAAACTTCCTTATGGAGTTGAGTTTTTAGATGGATAAAATAGGAATACCAATTGAAGCTACTGATGTGTATTCAATGGTAGATCTGTGTAAAGAGTCTTACAGGGGCCTCGTCTGGATGTGGCCAAGATTTGAGTAACAGAAGACAGATGTTTCACACATACATGGGCTGTATCCAGCTAAGTCCTACACAGAGTACTACTTAATTCACTAGGACTCACACTGGATGCAACATGTATATACACACATAAAAACTGGACCCCTGACCATTTGGTCCAGTCGTGACCGACTCTGGGGTTGCGGCGCTCATCTCGCTTTATTGGCCGAGGGAGCTGGCGTACAGCTTCCAGGTCATGTGGCCAGCATGACTAAGCCGCTTCTGGCGAACCAGAGCGGTGCACGGAAACGCCGTTTACCTTCCCGCCGGAGTGGTACCTATTTATCTACTTGTACTTTGATGTGCTTTCGAACTGCTAGGTTGGCAGGAGCAGGGACCTAGCAATGGGAGCTCACTCCGTCATGGGGATTTGAACCGCTGACTTCTGATCGGCAAGTCCTAGGCTCTGTGGTTTAACCCACAGTGCCACCCGTGTCCCATATATACACACATACACACACGCACAGAGGCAGCGACCATTTTGCATGAGAGTTTCGTTCCCAGCCCCCACATGCTTCAGTGGAGCATGCACAAGCACCTCCGCCCCTTATGCCATGCCCACGTTATGCCTCCCTCCTGCCCTTTTCTGGCTCCAGACATCAGCAATTGCGTGACAATTGGATGCGCCTAAATGGTTGCCACCTATATACTGATTCTTACAACTAGTTTTAAAATATGTTTGTGTATTTTTTGTCAGGCTGCTACGAAGCTAATCTTTTTAAGCATGCAGACAAGGGAAGCTGTTTCATATTGAATTGTAACAATGGTCCATCTACTTCAGTATTGTCTACACTGACTGGCAGCAGCTCTCCAGATTTTCTGATGGGATTTCCACTCTATTTGAAGATGCCAGGGATTGAACCTAGGACCTTTTGCATGCAAAACATATGTTCTACCACTGTGCTCTGGCTCTTCCCTTGTGTATGAAATATGCACCAATTTTAAACACACTTCTCTTACATGAGCAGTAAGGTAGTAGAATTAGAGTCACTAATAGAAGAGTACATACTAGCATTTACACATAGCTCCTTTCAAGCAGCTTTGTTCATTAGAGAACGTGGTGGAGACAGGAAGTACAAATGCCGTGTCCTTCCTGTTCCCTGCACTTCTTTGTATCATCTGAAATACAACTTTTACCTTTTATCCTGGAGGAAGGTATAGTTCTATTTCTGGCACTACGGAGACACTTGCGCTTCCTGTCCACCCTGTGTTTTGCAGTATCGGAAGCCATTCTTCAAGTTGCAGTGCAAACAGTTATGAAGCCTGAAACTGCTTTACAGAATTACTCAGATTGTAGTCTTAGCAGATTTTCCCCAAATAAAACGCTTTTAATGAAGCCGTTTTGAGTAATGGTATCAGAATATATATGTTTATTCACATGGACATCACTTTTTGAAGTTGTTAACGGTTTTGAAAGTTACATCACATTGGCATTTTGCAGGATCTGTTTTATTCATTGAATGCGAGTTGTACAGACCAAGCACTGGTGTATTTGGTTTTAGAGAGTTGAGTGTCTTCAGTAATACAACAGGAAGTCAAGTTCCTCTTTAAACCATTTCCTCCTCCTTTGCTGCCATGTACAGTGGTACCTTGGGTTAAGAACTTAATTTGGTCTGGAGGTCTGTTCTTAACTTGAAACTGTTCTTAACCTGAAGCACCACTTTAGCTAATGGGGCCTCCCGTTGCCGCTGCTCCGCTGCTGCACTATTTATGTTCTCAACCTGAAGCAAAGTTCTTAACCCGAGGTACTATTTCTGGGTTGGTGGAGTCTGTAACCTGAAGCGTCTGTAACCCAAGGTACGACTGTATATGAATTAAAACATGAATATTTGAAAGAATTGTTCAACCTAAATTTCTCCCAAATTCTATCACATTCACATAATAGGGGCAAAGGAAGTCCATCTTCATGTTAAGCAGTGAGAAAATAGATCTCATAGCTTCCCAAGCCCTCTACATATTCCGCAGAACTTCAGGGAGAGTTGTGTGAGTAATGACCCCAAATAATGACTGTCTCTGCCAAAGCCACCCAGAGTTTGTTAGGAGTGCCAGCTTGGCCCCACGACCGTGGGTGCCTGGGATCATGGGTGCCATACATGGCCCTGGTGCTGAAATTTATGGGTGCCCAGACCCTTCATGGGGAATTTTGTGGGTGCTTGGGTACCCAGGGCCCCAGGGAAACAGCACCTATGGAGTTTGTGGATTTCTATTTTTATTTTAACATATTTTTTTAATTAAAGATTTCTTGGTTTACAAAAGTATGTCCAATGCCTCTCTTTTCAAGTTACATTTTCTACAGATCAGTTTCATTTGTTGAGACATTAGTGTTACGTTAGGAAGAAAAGGGGGAAAGAGGTGGAGGGGGCATGGTGAGTGGGGGTGGGGTCAGGTGGTAATGTTTCTATTGTGCTTAATGTATGTGGGGGGGTTGTGTCCGTGTTGCTTGTGCGGGTTCTCTTTACTATTCGCTTGTGGATTTAAGTTTGTGGATTTCTTACTGTTAGTTCATTGGTTTGAATTAAGGGTAAACAGAAAACAAAGAATATCAGCCTGTGTTTTGGTGGGCTAGTGCCCTTTTTGTGGCAGCATACTCTGAAGTCTTTTTTACTGACTGTGAACTCAGGGTTCGAACACCCTGGTACGGTGTTTTACTAAATAGTAAATATTACAGTGGTACCTCAGGCTACAGACGCTTCAGGTTACATACGCTTCAGGTTACAGACTCTGCTAACCCAGAAATATTCCCTCGGGTTAAGAACTTTACTTCAAGATGAGAACAGAAATCGTGCTCTGGAGGCGCAGCAGCAGCAGGAGGCCCCATTAGCTAAAGTGGTGCTTCAGGTTAAGAACAGTTTCAGGTTAAGAACGGACCTCTGGAACGAATTAAGTACTTAACCTGAGGTACCACTGTACCTTCACATTTCAAGAAAGGAGATTTCAACCAAATTTACTAAGCTGTCTTGGAAAGTGGTGGGCTTTTCTTTTTTATGGGTTTTTAAGCAGACTCTGGGTTTCTTCCAGGGATGCTTCTGCAGGGGATTACCTTCATTGGCAAGGGACTGAAGCAGGTGACCGTTGATGTTCCTTCCAACTGTGAATTTGCTATTTTTAAAAATTAAGGCAACTTTCTCTTCTTTTTCTAACGAACTCTCAACCTCCGTTGCCTTCTGATAACCTCAGTTATTGTCAGGCTGTTTTGAGCTTTCTTTTCCTTTCCTTAAAAAAAAAAAAAATCCATGCAAATATTTGGCATGCCTGAGGAAACCCCCAAATGTTGGGAAACTGTTATGTACTGAGTTGAATAGGATCCAAACTGCAGCAGTCTGATTGGTCCTAGAACAATAGGATTCAGAATGCAGCAGTCTGATTGGTCCTAGAACAATGCAGCAGTATGATTGGTTGGCAGGAACCACCCAATCATTCTCCAGATAGAAGCAAATCCACAACCTGATTGGCTTACAGTAGAATTCCAGAATTAGCCAGTCATGTGCAGCCCATTGTGTAAATAATGTATATAAAGCAGATACTTTGAGGGGACTTTCATTCATTCCTCCTCACCACTATGAGCTGAATAAAGAGCATAAAATCACTTTGAGACTCTGAGTGTATTTCACTGGCGACGAGGATGGGATCCCGCTGAGCTGACTGCCACACACAGCACCGCAGCACCGCCACCTGCCGCAACGCTGCCTCGCACCGTGTATCTAGGCTTCAGCTCCGGGACACAAGGAACTCAGAATGGCAACCGACAGCAGCTTCTCGCCGTTCAACCCAGCATCCTGGAGAGTGGGAAGCGTACGCCTCCCATTTCACCTTCCTCCTAGAAGCCAAAGGGGTCACCGACGAAGAAGACGCCAAGAAGAGGGCGATATTCTTCAGCGTCTGCGGAGAGGAGACGTTTGAAATCACCCGGGCTCTCCTTGCGCCTGAAGACGTCGCTACTGTTCCATACAAAACAATAATGGAACAGCTGAAGGGGCACTTTCGCCGCAGCCCTCAGTGGTGGCTCGTCGAAATGCCTTCTACGCAAAGCGGCAAGCCCCTGGGGAAACCATAACTGGGTTTGTGACCTCTCTCCGCCAAGCCGCCCGGTTCTGCAACTTCTCAGAGCTGGAGAACATGCTTCGTAACCGCCTCGTCAGTGGCCTGAAGGATGAGAAGCTGCAACGACGCCTCTACGCTAAGAAGGACCTAACGTTCCAGGTCGCTCTGGAGGAGGCCCTGGAAACGGAAGCTGCTGAGAGGTCGACGCAAGAGGCACGGCCGAGCCTGCCGTCCCAACTGAGGGTCCACCATGAAGACCTCACCGACAACTCAGGATCCGACAGGGAGGAGGTGCACCGAGTACAGCAGCGCACTCAAGCAGCCCACATACCACACCTGCCTCAACGAAAAGGAGGGAACTGCGCAAGCTGCGGGGAAAGTCACGAGAGGAGGACCTGCCGTTTCCGCAACGCAGAGTGCAGGTAGTGCAGAAAATCGGGACACATCGCCCGGGTGTGTCAGGCTCTGCCCACTCGACGCCAGGCATCAGATGACCAATCCAAGAGCCCCAGGTCCCGGGGCCCAACGCACCAAGGCAACTCGACAGAGCTCACGGACTTCCAGGTATACCAATTGCCCCACCCCAACGTAGAGAAAATTTATGTAGAGGTACAGATAGAGGGGGCCCCATGCCGCATGGAGCTTGACACGGGTTCAACTCTATCCATAATCTCGGCAAGGACCCTAAGGAAACTGTGTCCTACTGGGGGTCCCAAACTCAGGCGGGCCCCATTCACCCTCCGGGACTTCCAGAAACGTAAGGTCCCCACAGTGGGGGTGGGGACCTTCAGGGTGCAATACCGAGGGCGGATGCGGCAACTGGACTTGCTTGTGGTCAAGGGCCCCTACATTAGCTTACTGGGATTGGCATGGTTTGGACCACTGGGGCTAGCCGTCACCGGGGTGAACCACACTAGCTTACAAGTGGACGTGGACGCCATATGCAAGGAATTTCCGGGGGTTTTCGATGGGAAATTGGGACAGTATATGGCCCCCCCCATTGCTTTACAGCTTGACCCCGCAGTACGACTGGTCAGGCTCAAGGCCCGCCGGGTCCCGTTCGCCCTGAAACCCCGTATAGACGAGGAATTGGACCGACTCGTGGAGCAAGGAGTGCTGGAGCCGGTGCCTAATGCCCCCTGGGAAACCCCAATCGTCACACCCGTCAAGCCTAATGATTCGGTCCACACCTGCGCAGACTACAAATGTACCATAAACAAGGCCCTCACGGCCCATGCATACCCAGTGCCAGTGGTCAGCCATGTCCTTGCCACCCTGGCTGGGTCGAAAATTTTTGACAAGCTGGATTTGGCCCAAGCATATCAACAGCTGCCAGTAGATGAGGCCACAGCAGAGGCACAGACGATTGTGACGCACAGAGGAGCATTCAGGGTAAAGCGGCTGCAATTCGGTGTCACTGTGGCACCAGGCATATTCCAGAATCTAATGGACTCTCTCCTTAAAGGGATTCCTGGCGTCACCCCCTTCTTCGATGATGTGTTGATTGCCGGGCCCACACCAGAGGAGTTTGAGGACTGCTTCCGCACCGTTCTGCACCGTTTCCAGACGGCAGGTCTCAAGGTGAAGCGGGAAAAATGTCTACTAGGAGTGCCTCAAGTGGACTTTCTGGGATTTATGGTGGACGCAGAAGGGGTCCACCCGACTGGGGACAAGGTACGGGCCATTTGTGATGCCCCAGCGCCCAAGAGCAAGACTGAACTCCAGGCCTTCTTGGGACTATTGAACTTTTACCATTCCTTCCTTCCCCACAAGGCGGTGGTAGCGGAGCCCCTACACAGACTCCTGGACAAGCGGGCCCCTTGGGTGTGGGGCCAGCGCCAGGAGGCCGCATTCCAGGCAGTCAA